CTATTTTCATTTATATCACCAAAAATAAAGACCCAGTGGTGATCATATAAACACCAAAGAAAGCTCTGTTTGTGTAAAAAAAAAACTGTGCAATTAGCACTTACTGCACTTAGTACAGTGCGGTATATCAAAAAATGGGGTAGTCATGAAGAGGATAAAATCTTCTGGAGCATCAAGTGGTTAATATCCAGCTTCTAAGCTAGCCATAGATTACTTGTTTTTTTTTTTCAATCCGCAAGTAGGCTGAACAAAAAAACCAAACAGATTCCTCCATCCACATAAGCAAGGTAGATGTAGAAATCATATCTGCTGGAACATTGTATTCTGACACTGGGACTTTCTGCTGTCAGAATACACTGAACAGCAGTGAAAACGGGTTGATCGAGAAAACATTTTTCAACAAGACCGTATGACAAAAATCCATCTGTTGATGATCTATAAATCAAGCATGGACACACAAGTATCAAAATGTGTCCAGTACCTGCTGGACCTGCCGAATTTGGTCAACGTAACTCTTAATCCTTATTTATCCCCTCAAACATTCCTTGTTTGAAGTTTATCTTTTCAAACTTCCTACGATATATTATGCCACCTGTTTGAATACCCACTATACTAACATATGTAATAAAAATATAGTAAAAAAAAAAAATTATCTTGTAAACTATAAATGAATAGCAGAGTAACGGTCTCAGCTTCTGGAGTCTTGACTTTGCTTTCTTTTTTTTTTTGCTTCAAAACTATTATGCAAAGACCTACAGTACATCCCTTTATAACCTTTATTATATTTACATTTGCTGACGAACAAGTTCATAGACAGTAATATATTTGCCTTTTCAACTTGCAAATGAGTCTTGAAACCACGGAAATATGTTATGCGTATATTCAAAAGACTTGTCAAATAATAAGAGGATTGACTGCAGTATAATTATGAGATAAAACTGCCTTAATTAAGTTTGATGCTTGTCAAAGTCCAAAAAAGCAGGTAGATCCACTAAAATGCTGCTTGTGCCATTGAAAACCCAAGGGAAGCTTTGCTGATACAATAGTCTTCAATCCTCTTATCAGTGCATTTCAATTTTCTCACAGATTCACAGGTGAAATAGAATGATAGTTAAAGTGATTAATCATTAGAAGAGAGCAGGCTGGATTTCCAGCACAGCTAGAGATCTAACCACGTGCGTTATCCTGCCTATTGTGGTAAAATTTTTAATAGGAAAGCCAAGGGACTGACAGGAACACCAGGATTTCACACAAAGGAAGAGGTACAAATAAAACAGGATACTTTTTCATACAAGTACATGGTACAGCAGGAACATATCAGGAATATGAAATGTTGGGTTTATATATACTTTAATATTCTTAAGATAGCCATGCACAGCCCCATTTAAGCATTGTCTGCAACAACTGGGCTTACATTGGGAGCAATCATATGAGCTTATTCACTGTTGGAGGTGCCAGTCTACTTGCTGAAAGATGTTTGAGAAAAATCTGTTAACTTTTCCCTTTTCAAAGGAGACAAGAAAATGAAGGTGTCCCCTACGTAAACCTAACTGTCATACACTGGAGAAACCCTCTTGTTAAGGGGACTTTTAAGTCACACATTAGAAGAAAAAAGGAAAGAATGTTCTTACAAATAACAGTTAAAAGAGCACTATATTTTATTTATACAATCTTATAAAAAAGACATATGGTTACAAATTATGGCAGTATCACCAGACGTGATTTTACAAAAAAAGAAGCAGATGAATTAAGGCAATGTCTTATATTAAGAGGATATTCCTCTACATGCCTTAAAAAAGCTTACAAAAGAGCATGTAATAAATCTAGACATTCCCTACTTTACCAAACTAAATATTGAGAAGAAAATAATCATGTTCGGATAATAGCTAGACTTTCCAATGAACATCTACAATTTAAGAAGATTGTGCAAAAATATTGGCACCTTTTGACTTTTGATCCTACCATCAATAAGTTTGTATCTGATACCCCCAATTTCACTTTCAAACGAGTCAGTTCGGTGAGGGACCATTTAGTACGTAGTGAATACCAATCACAAACAAATCAAGATCTCTGCAAATATCTAGGCACCTTTACATGTGGGGGATGTAATTATTGCCAATATATGAACACTAAGAAATCGGTTTTGCTACCCAATGGGGAGAAGTTCATTCCCAAACACTATGGCAACTGTAAAACCAAAGGTGTAGTTTATCTATTAACATGTGACTGTGATTGTTTTTACGTAGGTAAAACTAATTTGGAGCTTTCGCATCGGGCTTATCACCATATCTCTAGTATGAAATCCAACAATGTTGAAGTACCACTGGGGCACCATACAACAGGCTCCATGGAGGAGTCTTTCCCAGGATTCAATTCTTGATTTTGGACAGAATCCAACCAAGCCCACGTGGAGGTGACTGGAACAAAAGTGAGCTCACATGGATTCATAGATAAAATGCCACTACTTTTGCAGCGCTAAATTAATCTGTCTTTCAAACCATTTTTGGAGGGATTTGTGTGGGGAGGATGCGAAAGGGAAATTTGACCACTCCACCTCGCTCCAACTTGAATTTCTTCCTCGACCATTTACCCTTTTTTTAAGGGGGTTCTTGCTGCACAGAATTTGTTAATTTTTTTGTTTTGGTGTTTTACTGTATGCCATTTTGCTTATCAAAGATGATCTGTGCCATGTGGATGTAATTGCCGTATCCATGTTTCCCTTTTCTGCTTTCAGTATTTTTTCTTCTTTTCTCCCCCCTTTCTTTCTCGCTGTCCCTGTGTTTACCCCAGGCGCATAGGGGGCCACAGCCTCCAATTCATCAGGGTTGGTGGCCTTCAGGGCCAGACTTTTAGGGCGGCATGGTCATTCCATCAGAGAGAGGCTTGGTTTGCACTCTCTCCGGCCGCCTTCCTGCCTGGCTATGTTTCTCGTGCATCGATGGCGGTGCTACTCGTGACAGCGCCGCGCAGCCAGGGAGGGGTTGTTTGTGACCGCCGTGGGTAGCGATAGGTCTGTTCTGATTCACTCCAGCTTTTTTGGATGGTAATTGGAGCATTTTCAAGCCTCTCTGGGGGTATAAGACACCATTTTGAGAGCCATACACTGCTCATTCAGCCATGGTGGTGCCCTGTTTCCAGTAGACCCGGTATGTGACATATATCCATTTTTGGACAACTTTTTAAACTTTCTAGTACATTAGCGGTCTTATATGCCCTTTTTCTTAGACACCTGTTTTTGTTATAGACATAGAACACCAAAGAGACTGCTTTACCTCATGGGATTTGTATGCTAGGTCACCATTATTATTTTTTTTTCATCTTGGATGTTCCTTGCCACTGTTGCACCCCCAGTAAGTGCTCTTTATGGTTAATTTTTCTGACTGCTTATTGACTTTTTGGTAGTTATGACATTAAAATCTTTTATATTTTGTGCTTATCCATATACTGTAGTATCATCTGTAACAATATTGATGATAAGGCAGCCTTGGAGTTGCCCATTGGTGGCTGTGGAGGGACCCCTTCAGGAGACAAACAGAGAGGCGGCTGTGTTTCTTCATACATTTCTTTCTCCTTTCCACTTTTGACTTGTGGGGATCATGGAATTACTGGCTACATCCATTTAATGGTTTTAACCAATTGGCAGCTTACTGTATACTCTCCGCCCCTGTATGGGGCCATGTAAGTGTATAGTTATGTCTTATTAGAATGTAATTATTATTATTTGCATCTTCATTTAATCATTGTAAAATCACGTCTGGTGATACAGCCATAATTTGTAACTATATGTCTTTTTTATAAGATTGTATAAATAAAATATGGTTCTCTTTTAACTGCTATTTGTAAGAACATTCTTTCCTTTTTTCTTCTAATGTGTGCCTTAAAAGTCCCACTAACAAGAGGGTTTCTCCAGTGTATTACTTAGGGATGATGGCACTTCTTGTATCACACCAATTCCTCTCTTTAAGTGTCATCCACAATGTTTGTATGGGGTCATGCATAGCCTTCCCAAGAGATCACTAATTTCTCCCATACATTTGACACTGCATTTTTTCAAAACTAGCTGACAAATAAGCCTGCAGAGAGTAATACATTTGGCCTTAAAACTCTCAAAAAATGTACAGATTCTTCCACAATGCATACTGTATACAAAACTGTGAAAAATTGTTACTTTAGATACATTTTAAATGCATCCACTGGGGACCTTAGGGACCCTTCTATTAGTAGAGATTCTCCTGAGCTTTAAGTGGTAGCATTTGTGGTGGATCAAACTTGCTGTTTTGTACTTTGGAACCTCAGTAGTAAACTTAATTAAGGTGGTTTTATCACCATAAATATGCTGTAGTCTATCCTCTTATTATCTGAGAAGCCTTCATTAACTTACATCCCGCTATATACACACGCACAATTTATTTCCATGGTTGCAACACTTATCTAAAAGTTGAAAGGGCAAATGTATTACTATTTTTGGGCTTGTTCATCAGCAAGGTAAATATAATAAAGGTGAGAAAGAGGATGTAGATATTTCAAAGCTTTATGCTAGTTTTCAAAAATGCAAATATTCAAAAGTGGAGACATTTACTATTATATGTACCTATACTATACCTACCTTTACTTAATATGACACTATACCATAGCTTGCAAAATTATTTTTCTACATGATATTCCATGGATCTCTCGTATGTACAATAGAGGAGTTCATATTTTAGGTCACTGGATATTTAAACAAACACTCAGTTCTGTACTTCCTCTGTGCCTTATGTATGTGTTACATTAGTTTTATCTATGGAGTGCTACCAGCGGGTGAAATTTGCATTGGCTGTGCTGGGAACTTTTAAATATGATGCATGCATACATTAGAAAAAAGAAAAAAGATGTATATTTATTTAAAAAGATAATTTTAAGAGTTGGATTGTATTATTTTCATGATTGACACCTGCCTTGTACCAGTGAAGTGTTTGGCCATTATACAGACTAAACATCAAAGAATCAAGCATCTAGGCATGCAGACTGCTTTTACAAACATTTGTGAAAGAATAGGTTGCTCTCAGGAGCTCAGTGAATTCAAGCGTGATAAAGTGATAAGTTGCCACCTGTGCAATAAGTCAATGCGTGAAATTTCCTTGCTACTAAATATTCCACAGTCAACTGTTAATGGTATTATAACAAAGTGGAAGTGTCTGGGAACAACAGCAATTCAGCCATAAAGTGGTAAGCCACGTAAAATGACAGAACGGGGTCAGCACATGCTGAAGTGTACAGTGTGCAGATGTCGCCAATTGTCTGCAGAGTCAATAGCTAAAGATCTCCAAACTTCATGTGGCCTTCAGATTAGCGCAACAGTGCGCAGAGTGCTGCATCCAAGCCTTACATCTTCTAGTGCAATGCAAAGCATCAGATGCAGTGGTGTAAAGCACGCCACTGCTGGACTCTAGACCAGTGGAGATGTGCTCTCTGGAGTGACAAATCACGGTTCTCTGGCAAATCCGATGGATATGCCTTGGTTTAGCAGTTGCAAGGAGAACAGTATTTGCCTGACTGCATTGTGCCAAGTGTAAAGTTTGGTGGAGGGGGATTATGGTATGGGGTGGTTTTTTAGGGGTTGGGCTTGGCCCCTTAGTTCCAGTGAAGGGAACTCTTAAGGTGTCAGCATACCACAACATCTTGGACAATTTCATACTCCCAACTTTGTGGGAACAGTTTGGGGATCGCCCTTCCTGTTCCAACATGACTGTGCACCAGTGCACAAAGCAAGGTCCATAAAGACATGGAAGAGTGAGTTTGGGGGTGGAGGAACTTGACTGGCCTGCACAGAGTCCTGACCTCAACCCAGCAGCACATATTTGGGATGAATTAGAGTTTAGACTGCGAGCCAGGCCTTCTCATCTGACATCATTGCCTGACCTCACAAATGCGCTTCTGGAAGAAGGTCAAACATTCTCATAGACACGCTCATAAATCTTGTGAACAGCTTTCCCAGAAGAGATGAAGCTGTTATAGCTGCAAGGGGTGGGCCAACTCAATATTGAACCCTAAAGACTAACACTAGGATGCCATTAAAGTTCATGTGCGTGTAAATGCAGGTATCACAATACTTTTGGCAATATAGTGTATCGCTTTATATATCTTCTCACTCTGTAAAAAATAGTTTTGGGTGGTAGTCTACTTTAATTATGCAACTTCAGGAAAAGCATGAAACTTTGATGCTTATTTCAGAAATAAACAAAAATGTGCATCCTGCATGAACGGATAATTAAAGTAAACCTTCACACAATTTATTGAGTGAAAATTCCCAACTCCTTTAGTAAATCAGCCTCCCTTTACATCCATTTATGCCAGGCTACATAGCTTCTAAACAGACAGCTGTATTTGATTCATCTTCTCCTGAATATTGGCAAGGCCATTGGCTGCAATTTTAGAGTTCACCCGATTCAGCACTTAAAGGTAAATCCCAATATTATGATCTTTTAATTTAAATTCATTGGACTTTAACCTCAATCACAAACTTTAAAATTTATTTAAAATATAGGGGTTGTTGTTTTACTAAATGCAATAGAGACTAAAAACTTCAGTGATCTGAAAAAAAAAAAATAGAAACTAAGAGGAAGCAAAGAAAATACAGCAGCTGATTGAGAATTATGAAGTCACTCTTATTCTGTATTACTCCTTTGTGACTTATACATGTACACAAAAATCAGTAATAATAACACACATGAGATAATTTTAGCAGATCTGTTAACTTTAAAATTTTGGATAGAGTGGCTAAGGGACAGAACTTCTATCAGGTTTTTAGTTGTGACTCCAGAAAATTTCCCTAACAATCTTATCCCTGTGATGTTCATACAAGAAATGTGAGGTGCAGGCAAGGGAAATCTACTCGTGAACAACAGAGCAATAAAAAATTGACAAAAGGTTTTAACAATTCTTCATTATCCAAAACATAAAGGGTAACGCCACATTTGTGAGAAAAAAAAAAAAGCAAATAAAAAAGCACAATTGCGACACGTCATATTGTAATTTAATGTTAAAAACTACCTTTCCTTTTCAATCTTTGGAGCTGTAATTTTCTGTATAATGTGATGCAAAAATGCAATGTTTGGTGAGATACTTCAAATGGAAAGCACATCTAAAAGGTATACAGACCCTGACACTTTGCTTATTAGAGCCTGCAGGTACAGCAGCTGATTTAGAATTATGAAGTCACTCTTATTCTCATTCACTTTGCACATGGACACAGATAAACAAACAGCTATTTCTTCAGAATAACAAAAGGTAGGAATCTGCAACAAAGTTTGTTAAAATCCCTGCAATGTACATTGATCACCCAGAGGGAATTTATTTTTCTCAACAAAAGTCGAGTTATTCTTTAAAAAATTATTTCCTGACGGCTTCATGTCAGTACAGCTGGGTGAGGCCCTGCCCACCTCCTGCCTGATCAGGACATATCCCAATAAATTTTTGTCCCACCTCAGCCTTGGTGTTCCTTTTTCTTCCTCCTGCAATCAGGACAGGTGGTGTCTCCCCTCCTAGCTGGTCTAATGGCTGGCTGTCCATCCATAATTTTTCTCCATGTTGGACACGGTCCCTGTACTCCTCTGCTAACAGCAGTCTGACCAGAGAGCCCCACTGCTGGTCCTCGGGGCGGCATTAGGCCGTGGTAAAATACAGCTGGCTTATTGGGTACTATAGGAAACATTTAGAAATGTTAATTTTACCTAAGCCTCACCCTGAGAGATCAACCTTTTATCTTGAATTCCTCCTGAAAAATAATGCACTTCCAGTCACGTGGGTGTGTATAGGCACCCCTGTACCTAAATCCTCATAGTATGTAAGATCTAAGGCGCTGCAACCTCTAACTGCTAGTCTTACAAGATTTTAAGTGATGTTTGGTGATGTCACTACTGTGCTACTCACTGTGCTTGTTGAAGGCTCTGACATGAGGAAGCGAAACTTTTTCCCTACCAAGACGTCTGCCTCTACACAGATACACAGTACAGAACAAGGTGGTGAGTAATAAGGAAATAGCTATGCTTGCCTTTTTTTGGCCACAGCTTCTAGAGCCCTGGTGCCCAACATGATGGCCGCATGCTGTCCACTGGTCCTCATTGTGCAGCCAGTTGGCTGTTGGGCACCATACAGAAACCAGAGTAGTGGCATGGTGCTGGGTGCTGGAATGCTCTTTGTGTTCCAGCACCCAGCACTGAAAGAGAGACTGTAGTACTGTGGGTGGAGTTATCCCCATCAACAGTACAAGAAAAGTCCCAGCCTGGTGACAGGAGAGAGCAGTGATAAACATGTAATGGGTAGGTGATTACCAGTGGGGGGATGGAGGTTCATATTCACTACCATGACCACCAATGCGGGGGGGGGGGGGGTTTACATTTTACTGCTATGACTACCAATGCCGGGAGGATGGGGGGTTAAATTTCACTGCCAGGAGCCACCAATGCATGGAGGGTTAAATTTCAATGCCAAGACCACCAATGCAAGGGGGTTAACTTTTACTGCCACTGGGCACAAATGCAGGGTGGGGGGAGGGATTACATTTCACTGCCACAGACCACCAAAGATATTACTTAATATTAAATATTAAATGCCAGTGGGTGGGTTAAAGTACTGACGCCATTGCTGCGGGCTATTATTGTTTTCTCTGACACCAATTTTGGAGGTTATTATTGCATCCACTGACAGCAGTGCCAGGCATTATTAATGTGTCCACTGACACCAATGTTGGGTGTTACTATTGCACTCATTGACACCAATGCTGGGTGTTATTATTTGGTCAAAGAGATATCAAAGTTCAATCTGCCAGGGACAGTAAGCGAATACTCAAAAATACTTTTTTCAGAAAATTATTAAAATATAAAATGTTCAGGCCCCAATCATCCTTCACCAAAAAAAAAAAAAAGACAACGTTACCCAAATACATAACCACTGTCCAGTGTAAACCATTATGGATATGTAGTGCTTACTTCTGAAGAATTTCCTTGTTTTGGGTCTCATGTCCCTGTGCCTACAACTCTGAAAATAGCACCACACACTCTACCTGCCTGAGTGGGGAATATTTAATGCAGATGTATAGGCAGTACCTGAATGTTGAAAGTGATAAGAAACAACAGCAATAACACAGTAAAGGATATGTGTATATACAGTATATACTATATATGACAGTAAATGAACAGTAGAAATATATATACTATATATTAGTGAAACAATTGGTTAAGAGAGCAATTCCTATTAACACCTATACTGGGACAATCCTAACTAGGCAGTACTACACCACCACGACAGTCCAGCGGTCTGTAATATCCCCTTCTTTTGCTTGCCGCTCATTTGGGGCCAAACTCTTATGTTGGAGTTCTCAGGTCAATGTCCTTTATTAATTGATACAGGCAATGACTCTGTTACCTGCAGACAACACTGTTGCTTTTTGGTCAAAGTGTAATGTAACCATGGCCAGCGGCCTCTCACCAACTCCTGCATCAGCAGGTGCCCTCTCTCTGTTCACTGTGTGAAGTGCAGTTGATAAGGGTCTGCAGCATCCTTCCCCTTGGTCAGGCATCATCCATGACTCTCTCCAATGTCCCAAGATATCTGTACCTGTGCCTCTCAGGTGCAGTTGTGAGCTGCTAGCTAGCAGCTGAAGGTGCATTCAGTCCTCTCAGAACAGCCTCCACACTTCTTCTCCTCAGCCTGGGAAAAACAGCAGGGTACAACCTCTCCTTTTTGCCCCAATGCCTTGGGGGAACTGCAGTTTTCTCCTTCTAGCTCAACAAACCAGCTCAGTTTGTCAGAACGATATCTCCTGAAATTTTAGCAGTACATTTATTTATTTATTTATTTATTTATTTATCGAGTTTATATAGCGCCAAAGGGTTTGCTCAGCGCTGTACAATAGAGGGGGGACAATACATGACACAGAACAGTAACATCAAACAGCACACGAGGGGTTAGAGGGCCCTACTCTTTCGAGCGTACAATCTAGGAGGGAGGGGGTAGAGGCACAGGAGGAAACGGCTGTGGGGGATGGAGTGGTAGGAGGAGGGAAGGGCAGCGGCTGTTAGGTGAGGGTGGGGTAGGCTTCCCTGAAGAGGTGGGTTTTCAGGGAGCGCCTGAAGGTGAGGAGGGAAGGTGACAGTCTGGTGGATTGGGGTAGTGAGTTCCAGAGGATGGGGGAGGACCTGGAGAAGTCTTGCAGTCGTGCGTGGGAGGAGGAGACCAGGGAGCAAGATAGAAGGAGGTCCTGTGAAGAGCGAAGGGTACGGGTAGGGTGGTACCTGGGAATCAGGTCGGTGAGGTAGTTAGGGGCAGTGTTGTGAATGGCCTTATAGGTCAGGGTGAGCAATTTAAATTTAATGCGTTGGGCAATGGGGAGCCAGTGGAGGAGAGAGGCAGAGGGGGGTGGCAGAGGTGG